TTATTTTTTAACTTTCTATAGCTTACCCAAAGCCACCAGAAAAGAGGGCATACATCAGGTACTGGAACTTCATCGTAAGCAGTCTGGCTGATTGCTTTTACTGTCAGGTACACAACAAGTGTCAAAATTACTCGTGCCGGCCAGCCACAAGTGGCTACCCAAAAACTTTGTGCGGCGTTGGTTTTTGGTTATTAGATGCCATTGGGCGTTGGTAAAATGTTTAAAATGTTAGCATTAAATTTAAAATTTTTCTGATTTTTCTAAAATACCTGGCAAAAGATGTGCAAATACACAAGAAAGTGCTCGTGTAGTATCGAATAATATAATAGCTGAGGTGTCTAACAAAGCGTATTCCAGCAAATGCACAGGAATCGTATTGGGCTGTTGGAATAGCTGTCAAATGATCGGGATTTGGGTGTGTGCAACTGCCGTTCCACGTGTGATGCAAACGAAGCTGATTATTTCCACCAGTTTTGGCTATGACACTACTCATTGTCATCTGCAAATGCTGAATTGTGTTGCCAGCTTATACAAAAAAAGATTGTTATTTTATGCACTTTTTATAAAATACAACTAACCGCTTTGCAGTTCAATGTAGCATTCTTGGGCATCAAACGGAAACTGAGAAAGATCAAACAAACAAACTAACTGAACGTTGAGCCGGCGGCATAACTGGAGCATTTTTGTTTCCGGCCAAACTTCAATGTACTCCAAATTTCGAATTGATTCAATTACAGAGTATGCCATCCCATTTCGGATATAAACTTGAGGCAACCAAAAAATTGAATAATTTGTTGATCTCACAGACGCATAACGAAAAGTTTCCACGCGACCTGACTCGTTGTAAGTTATTGGGTTGATGTTCACCAATCGAGGGTCGTGCCAGTTTGAGCAAAGCAGTATGTCTACATTCAACGACTGAAAAAACTTATTTTATGAAACTAAAGTTGCAAAACTATAAGAGATTTTATACTCTTTGATCACTGGCAGCTGAAAATCTATTAATCACAACTGTGCTGTCTNGCCAGTTTGAGCAAAGCAGTATGTCTACATTCAACGACTGAAAAAACTTATTTTATGAAATTAAAGTTGCAAAACTATAAGAGATTTTATACTCTTTGATCACTAGCAGCTGAAAATCTATTAATCACAACTGTGCTGTCCACTGGAACATAGCCATTGACCAAAGGTGGCTGCGATTTGTCGTAATCAGACGGAATAAAAGATCCAATGAGCCAGTTTTGACCAGTTACACGTGTCGACAGTAAAACAAGGTTTAAGATAATTAAAAAATAGTTGAAAGATGCAAAAACTGCCATTTTAGCAATGCTCGCTCAACTATTCTAAACTGCAAAAGAAATATCTGGACATTTAAAATTATTTGTAATGTGTTACTACCCTGTAAAAAATGCACTATCACGTTCACCCAAATGCAGTACGATTCACTCGAAATTCCTCATTATGCTTGCTCTAAAAACCTAACATTACGTTGATTTTCATTAGCATTTATAAAAATTTGTGATTCAAAAAATCAGACTTTTTAAACTGAGAAAACGAGTTTACTCATACTAAAAAACAAACTCCATATTGTTTTTATTATAAAAAATCACACATCTTTGTTTTATCAATAAGTAAATTTGTGCCTTAAGCTAGATAAGTTAATTGGCAGTACTAAGCGGACTCTTCTCGAAGTGTCAATGACAGTGTGTTTCAAGTGCTGGTACTAAATGTATGTAACAGAGATACCACGTGACGTTCACATTTAAAACCACTTGAGAAGCGCTGATGGCTTAAAGAGGATCTGGTCAGTGGCCACAGCAAAGCTTTTAGTCATCTTTAAAAACCCCCAGTGCTCTATTACAATTGCTTAGTATGCTCATGCCATTTACAAAATGAAATTTTACCTTACTCTAAGTTTAGTTTTTGTGAGCTTGGCAGTAGGTATGAAACTGCTTTATAATTGTTTTTTAAATTTATTAAATTATAAAACTTTGTTTCAGTCTTGTGTGCTCCAGTCGACAATGACGATCCAGATAACGATGAGCTGCATAAACTGCCAAACATATTGGGCAACAGTCAGTTGATTCAAAAACATCAAAAATTAATACAAATGGCACAAGAACTCTTGAGTAAGTTGCGCAGAAATGGCAAGAATGACCAGGCACAAAAATTGTGGCAGGCCATTGAATGCGCCAACCGATCTTTGCAAGCTTTTATGTCTATCAACCCAGGACGGGAATTCAACTTTAGCGTCAAAGCTATTATTGAAAACCTGAAAAAAGCTCAAGATAAGTTGGATCACTTGATTCATGATTTAAAGGACAACAACGACGACCAGTTCATTTGAAAAGTGATTCATTTGTACCAGTCAATACAGTCTATTTGAGAATACTAACAATCGATTCGAGTCGGTATTTAATTCGGTAGGCAATGACAGCCGCCGCGGAGGATTTTCGGTGCGCATCAGAGTTTGCCACCTGGTACCAGTAGAGCTGAGTGTGCGATGAACGTGCCGAGGAGCATGATGGATGCTGGTGGGCGGTGGGCGTTGAAGGACTGAGCAGGCTCATTGAGTGGGTCGAGGGAGGAGATGGAAGTGCCTGACTTGGCAAGTCATTCCACGACACTCGAGCTGGATGAAGCGCTCGGGGAGTTTCCGGTGCCAGTGTCTGCATCGGCGGTAGAGTGTTGGATTTTGGCAACAGCTCAGTGGCCGGTGTGGTGCTGCTGCTTCTGTTGATGTACGGCTGCATCTCCACCAGATCAAAGCTGTTCTTACTCACCAAACACTGACACCTTGAAACAATTGTCTTCAGAACTAGTGCCAGAACAGAGCCGACTAAGTTTATGTAAAAGAGCGGCGTGGTAAGCTGAACGTAGTCTAGCATGTAGTATATCGCAAAGACGGTCACTGAAAGCTGGAACATGGCTGCCATCAGAGCAGTTTGAATAGTTGACGCGGTGATGGTCATAAAGTTGGAAATAAACTTAAAAACAATTTCCATCATGAAGCCCAACGAAACGCCAAAAAGTAAATTTGTCTGAAATAACCTTCCAAAGTTATCATTGAGTAATTTGAAAGCTTTGCAAACTCACCAGAAAGACCATAAACACACTGTACTCGAAAAGATACAGTTGCATCAAGTTAGCGGCAATGTGTCCCAGGTAAACTAGAGCAAATCGGTGGCAATTGCGGTGCCAAGCGTAGTGCCCCAGCAATTCTTTGTTCTCTTGTATAGTGGTCTTGTAGCCAATGATGATTGGCTTGAAAAGCAGCCAAATTCGGGAAAAAAGAAGCGAACCCATCAAAACTGTGTGAGCGTAGAAAATTTGCCTAGCTGTAAGCATAAGAGTTAGTGTAAACAGCCAAAAATTGATTCAAAAAGGCTTACGAGACATGTTTTTTGGGTAGTATCGATCGGGCCAGATTGAGGTGAAGCACAGGTGGCACACTTCGGCGGTGAAGGCGGCGCTGAAGATGATGCTTCCGGCTACTGCAAAGCACGACTTGCGCCAAACTTTCACCGTTCGAATACTAAAGTTGTCCTCATTTAGCTGATCGACATTGTGATGAGTCTTGGCCTGACAAGCGAGACAAACGCAGTTCAGAGTAAGCAGCTGGTCAGTGCACTGGCGATTCATATCGTAGTACGCAAGAAAATCGTCAAAATCTTCAGGGGTGATTGTGGTGTGCTTCGACAAACTGCCCACTCCGTTCCAAATCAGATAGAACACTATGGCGCAATTGATTGACACAAAGAAGCGACACAGCAAAACCGAAAACATGACTGAAGAGCGGAACTCACTTAAGCTACTCTCTTTTGGAAAGAAGTAGTGAAGGTGAAAGGTGAGCCCAGTGACCACTCCCAGTGAGGTCATCACCAGAAAGGCTCGCATCCACGTCTGCGCCTCCTGACGACTGATGGCACTGATCTTCACGTCAAACATGATGTAAAGCAGGTAAATGTAGACAAAGCCAACTAGAGCACACTTGAAACTGATGGTAAGTGGCAATGGTATCAACTGGTGAAAGTAGTGACACGCCAAAGTAGCCAGTTCGTCCACCGCCACGAGTGCGAATGCTGCTGAGATAATGAACAACGAGTTCTTGTGGCTCAGTGAAAAGAGATGCCGTTGTGGATGCCAGCGAGTAGCAACGAAGATGCCTAGTGCGATTGAAGGACAGAGAAGACCAAATGTGATTGACAAGATGAGTCGCCGTTGATTGAGATGAGGAGAGGTCTCAGAAAGATGAAGCGTCGTCAAAAGGTCAATGAAGAAGGAAAATGCCTAGCATTGAAAGATATATTAATCAGCAGATAATACACAACCTCCAGAATAGTTCCTACCACGTGAAAGCAGGCAAAGCAAACGACTGCCAACTTGATTCGATCAACTTGCGAAACGATCGTCTCAAAATAAGCCCGACACTCTGTTCTAGCGTGTTCGGAGTTGGCAGCGCTAAGCAGACGATATCTACGGTACGAATTGGATGCGTCTAATAGATCATATTCGTCGTCTTCCAGTTTTCTATTCCGGGAAATGTAGCTAGGTCGCTGGAACTTTGGAATGGATGGGTTGCGGCTCAAAGTTGAGTCTCTTTGAACGCGTTTTCTCTTCGGTGGCTGATCCTCATTATGCGGTTCTTCTTCTGCACTGGAAATGGTGTGAGCACGCCGCCGTTGTTGATTCGAGCTCAGATATATTTTCCGCGACAATACTTCGTACAGATTCATGGTGGAATACAGTCTATTCAGGTGTGCGGAACTCCACACTGCAAAAACACACTCTCAAATCACAAAGCACAGTAATGTCGCATTGTTGCCGGCCATTAGAACAGCTCGTTAGCCTCAGCTGAATGGATCATAAAACCATGGCGTCGGAAATATGTCGCTGATAGTCACTACCACTGATTGCGGGTCTCTGTCACACTGATTCAGAAGACTGATAAGACTAGTGCCAAGAAACAAAATGACCATCATTTTTGGGCAAGCAAAAGTTTAGCCTCTTTTTATAATAAAACTTGTAAGGTCCAATTGATCCAAAACTTTTTCATTGGTAAATTCACACTTGTCGATACGAGAAAGTGGACTCCCTTTGTGTGAAAGCCAATGTTTCCTGTAAAAAAATAATTGAGTTAATAAATAGTTTCAAAGGATAAGTTAGTGATACTTGCATGTTGTCAATTTTAGCTTCGGTTCCTTGCATTAAACCGCTGACAGTTCCATCCCGCTCGTTTTTCACCCACCCAAAAATACCCAGTTGATCAGCTTTTTCTTTTGTGTACTTTCTGAAAAATACGCCTTTTCAAAACAAAACAATGTTATCAAATGTTTGATCATTCATTTTAATGCACTTACCCTGAACGCGGCCAAAAACTCGATACTCAACTGATAATAATCGCTGAACTGCATCCATTCTTATCAAATTAAAGGCGACTAGAAGACAAGAAAGCAGAATCAGACAATAAACTGCAAGTTTTAGGCCACGAGCAGGTGACATTGTTTTTGTTTATAAATATTGTCACTATCTAATCGCTAGATGCACCGACAGATGTCGATATCTTTCCAGGAAATTTTTTAAAAGTCATTTTTCAGTTTTTTAGCTTGGCGCCACCGTTCATATTTTTTTACTTTGCATTACTTTTGTACTCCAACACTACAGTATCAACGGCAGTATTCCATTGTGCACTTGTTCTTGTTATCATCGTTTCCTCTGTAAATTCATCTTTTTCCCTCCTTCAAACACGCATCAGGGGAGCATTGTTTTGGCAGACTGCCTCGTTGGCGCTTGTTGACGCAGGTTTGTTTAGGCGCACTTGTTTATTTAGCGCCGATTATTATCTTGATCAGGAGGGATACAATGTGGGTTCGGAAGTGATACAGTGCATTTTTTTTGATAGTGCAAACTTTTGTTGTCATGTCTGACCTGTTGGCGTACTTTTATTTTGCTAATAAATTCTTGGAAACTTGTAATAACAAGCATCTGCTTTAGCATGAGCACTCTATAGACTTGTCACCAATTGTTCAAACAAATCTCTCTCTCTCCTTTGGTGCTACTAACTGACTAGATGACTTTATGGAAACGGCAGCAGCAGACAGCAAAAGTGACAATGACATTGGACGCTATTTAATTAGCGATTGTTTAGTCATTTGTTGTTTCATGCTTTTGTATAACCTTGATAAGCGTGTTGGATGCCAAGTTTTGTCAATATTCGCATATTCATTTCAAATACTGCTCTTTTGCTGCAACTGAATCAACAAATGATAATGCAACAATACTAAATGAACTTGTCAAACAAATGGTGATCAATAAGTTCTCTTTAAAGTAAATTCAATTTTCGAACTTTGGTTAAAGTTTTAAAAACGCATTTTAGAGGCTAAAGAAAGTTAGTTAAATGTTGTTTGGGTTTATTTTATCAAGCTTTGCTAACATGACGTCAAGCAACTCGTCGCGAAACTTGGTGCACATTCACAAGAATCCCAACTACAGTCGAGTGACACCGTTTCTTTGTGTGATCAGCAACTCGCAGAACGACTTTGTCTGCCACAAGTTTTTTATCAAGGCGGCCAGCAACTACTTTGCTGATTTGCTCACCTACCAGAAGGAGGACTACGAGATTGCGTCAGGAGAGGTGGTGCCACGGTCAGTTTTAGTCATTTTGGTACATGCCAACATTCTAATACCTTTTTTATGGCTAGAATCCACGTCGACTTCTCTGACAGCCTTCTGGAGGAGTTCTTTCGCTTTGCCTACTTTGATAAGATGAAAATCACTTCAAAGAACGTGGAAGATCTTCTCAACTTCTCCTCCTTTATCAATTCGGTAGAAATGCTGTCCAAAATTGAAGATTACTTCTGCAGCATTGTTGACTCTCTGCCTGACGACTTTATGCATTTCAAGGAGTACTTTAAGGTTGCTGATGACTACATGTTGGTGCAGCTCAAGCAGAAGCTCACTGCTCGAGTCTATCCAACTGGTGGAAGTTCCGCCTAAGACGCCCAAGAATTGTGATGATTTTTGTTTTTAAATTCAATTTATTTGTAAAACTTTTGTCATTTTGAAATTGATTGGCATCTTTTTGATGCCTTTTAGACTTTAAAATAATTTTTACTTTCTTGGACTGCGTAGGGCAGTAAACACTTGTATGGCCATTCTGCAGAAACAGCAGCAGCACATCTGCTAGTGGGCTCAGGAGCATTTTTCACTGGTGCACTCTGGTTTATACTACAATTGTAGTAGTGTTTGCTAAGTACAGTCAGTGAGTGAGTGTGCATGCACTGTATCCACTCCTTGTCATCGTCATCCTAATTTGTGTTTGCTATTTGTCTCTTGCGGCATGTGCTGACTCGTCTCCTTTTCAGAAGCACTTTTCTCTAATTTGTTTTCTATTGATACGGTGAATGATTGTTTTTATTCTCCGGTAAGTGCTTTATATTTAACAGATTGTGTAGAGGATGACAATTTTCATAGTTGTTAGCCAAAAGTCCATTTCAGTAATGTAAGGCTGTTGCAATTTTTTTTATAAGAGCATTTATTTGTACAGTTGAGCATGTCTATTTGGAAAAAAAGTATTTTTCAACTGGACACAACAAATGCATTAGCATATCGGTCATTGCTTCACCCACAAAAAATTAAACTTTTTTCATTTTAAATTGCTACCAAGAGCGCGTCAATTCGCTCTGAACAGAGCAATGCAGATTTATATTCATTTGAGATGACGTACCAATTGGGTTTGAATGTGTAGTGGCCTTTGTTCACTTGGATCTCGACGCAACTGTCCAACCTGATACTGTACTAGGTCAAATGTCTAATTTGCTGCCTCACAGGCACAGGAGAGAGGACAACAGCAACATTTTCTTTCTTTGAAAATGACCCTAGCACCAATCTTGTCAACCGCAGGCTCTGCACTCATCACCACTCGAAAAAGAGAGAGGCTACTGTTCCGCGTATCATATTTCCCGGCGCATTCAACTTCAAACTTTGCTTTTATTTACTGCCAGTCCCTTATCCTTCACAGATGTGCAAATCTGCAAAACACCGATCAAATCTATCTCTGCTGCTCGTCCCGAGCATTGCTTCAATGAAAATTATTAAGCCCCAAGGATTGGCTCGTCTGAAATGAGCGTCCCAAGGCAAAGATGAGACTCGTTACAGTATGCTTGGTTTGTCTTAAATTACACACATTTGTAGCTAGTCTCCTCTTGCTCGTTTTGGACACAACAATAGTGTCGCTCAGATTTGTGCTCACTGCTCACCGATGACTCCACTACTCTCATTACCTAACGTGCAATTGTCTGACACTGCTGACCATTTGCAACATGATCCTCCTCCTCCGGCTGTTGTTGTTGTTTATGACTAGGTGCTATTGTAAAGCCTTTAGACCTAGCAAAGCCTAGCAAAGCTTTACCCTTGGCAGTAAATAGTTCTAACGAGAGCACAGTTGCGCGTTTTCCTTTCTTACCTTTCTCTTTTGCTCCCTCAGTGTTTGTCACAAATAGTTGAGCGGTAGATTCTTTTGTCAACCAAACTGATAGCCAACAAGCTCTCATTCGGGATTGTTTTGAGCCAATAAATTAGTCAATGGATGTAGCAATACTTCCTCGTAGTTTATATCTTCCTGTTGAAGGTTGTTTTATAAAATTGTTGGTTTTATAAAACAAATTTAAATTGTAAAAAAGGACTGACGTGAAGTTACATTTCTAAACAATATTCTCACCTCAAATGTCATTCACAGTGCTAAATTTAGCAATGCATAATAATGGTCATGTTTTATTTGTGTGTGAAAGTTTTTGTGAATATAGCTTTCAAGTTCATCAGGCGCTGTTTCCAAATTACCAGTGTCGTGGAAAAAACTTCAACAAAAAAGTTTCTTGCACTTCACTAGAGTCAAATTGATTACTTTTAATTGGCATCTGCGACAGTTACTGCTTGACACAAGTAGGCGCTGAAATATGATGCGTTAGAGTTTTTTGCGTGTTTACATCGTTTTCAGATGAGGACAACATCTCTGATGATTCTCACCATGTGAGAAAACAGTTGGGCTGTTTACTATGTCGCAATACTTAGATTTTAAATATTTTAATATACAACAATTTTTAAAATACTCACCAGCTGATCAATTAAGAATCAGAGCTAATCAGTTTACTTTAAGCTCAAACTTTTCTTTGCAGCTATATATAGCAATAAATTCATTTGAAAAACTGTGCAATTATGAAGAGAGTGACCGAATGACCGGTGATCACAGCGGCGAACATATGTGCGGTGGTTAGGGTGCTCTCCGCCACTGAGCACCTCTGAACGGTGCTGTATTGTTCGGTTGACCGTAGCAGTGGACAGTGAGTGCAGGGGAGGCTATCCAGCCCGCCAATTACTGACAATGGCACACAATGGCTCTATTTGTTTGTTTGTTGTGCCATCGATTGCTTTTGCTCTTGCGGTGCCTATATTAGGCAGTCTCAGTATACTTTCTATTCTTATGGCCAGTTCTCCTAATCCAGTCTTGCATAATTTTGGTTAGCTCGATTACAATCTTTTTGGGTCACTTTCTCACCGAGACAGAAAGGACCACGGGGCCAGCAACCTAACTGGACGCAGCAGCAGCAGCAGCAGAGCTGCTCTTTGATTGATTGGACGTCGGATCCAAACGCTCTCAGCACTTACCTTTCAGTGAGAGTGGTTTTTCGCCTCCTACTGCCCTAGTCATTAATCTCAATTGTTTGCTTTAAAGCTCCGGTAATTTGTCTCGAGATTTTTAGCAGATTGCTGAAATGTGCACCTAAACTGCATCTCAACGGACTGTCCACTGCATCTATTGTGCGTTTGAGGTACTTTTTTATTTATTTGGTAAATCACTGGCCAGTAAACGTTAGGAAAACTTTAAAACAGTATGTTTAAGCAGTTTTGATTTAAAACTTTGTGTTTTAATGGTTGTTAAAAGTCTGAGAGTGTGTGTTTGTATTATTTTTGCAGTCGTTTGGCAACTGTCAGGGCAGTGTCTGCCAAACATCATTACACCATTTGACTGTTTAGCTGTAAATGTATTCTTTTTAACATTTGAACTTAACAGATTTCAACTTTTTAGCATGGGTGTGATTCAGTTGGACACGATTTGCTCAACTACTCTGTGTAAAGGCATCTGTGCAGGAGGCTGCACTCGCTACGCGTTCACTCTGTGTGCCGCATCAATTTTTATTTGCGTCCGGTGGCAATAATCGACTGATGAACAAGCTCCGAGTTGAGAGTGCCATTTTAGATTTAAAATTTACATCTGCCTCCAAGTGCATCTGTTATATCGCTGGGCATTTTTGTCTGTTCCACTAGGTGCTTTTTCTCTCCAATGTGGTGGACACAATTTGGGATTCGTGATATGTCTGTTCTCAGAAAACAGCAGTTTTCCTTTCTAATATCGATTTTGA